TTCCTCCCCTAAATATTCTCAGGTAAATGTAAAAGCTTGGGATAGTGGCAAATGTCTAGAAGACATTGGATAACGTTTATGGAGGCTTAATCAAGTGGGTGGTAAAGCTTACTAATTGCTGAGAGCAAAGGAAAAGGACAATCAGACAGGGAGAGATGCGTGGAATAATAAAACCTGGGATAAAGTCTGGAGTGGAGAGAAAGTTTTTTATGACCTATAAAAAAGAACTATAAGCCATTAAGACATCTAGAGATTTTTATTGACACTTAAATCTCAGATCTTTTTGGAAGGGAATTCCTAACTGTTTTCTGAAATTATTTGGGTGCAGGAGTGCTGTGACATTTATCCAACCTATAACCTCTTCCAGACTCAGATCCATTTTAGATTCTACAAGGCAGAATGCCTTTTAATGGTGGTAAATAACAATTACTTTTCTACATTACCTTTTACATCACAATACAAATTATGTCACGCAAAGAAGCACACTAAGTGGGACTAATCTCAAAAGAAAAAAAATAACCCATAGGAGCAGACTCAAAGACATTCCAGAGATTAGAACAGTAGGCAAAATTATTATATATGAATGTATATATGCACATATATACATATATATAATATCACTTGATCACTTGACTTCCCGTTAATCGTCGATTTGCTTAGGCAGGCTCCAGTAACGTCTCCATTTGTCCCTGTCGCATGCTAGTGTAGCCCAATGGCGTCTGAAGAGCCTCAAACCAATCGTTCATGATCTTGATGAAGAAGTCTGATTATATATATATATATATATATATATATATGCACCAATTTGTTGGAGAAAAAGTGACAAATAGGCATGAACAGGGAGGAAATTTTAGCAAAATATTAACAATGTAGGGAAACCTTGAAAATTTTGAGAATATAATATTGAAAGTGAATTTTTATACACTTAATAGCAGAGAATATACTTAGAAGAGATCAGCAAATGAGAAAACACATAGTTTTTGTACCTATAGAAACTTATCACACAAAAATTGAAATAAACTCAATTTCAGGGCTAGTTAAGTTCTTCTGAGGAGAGAAGGAATGCTTTTTTTATTCTCATTACTAGATAGACCAAAAGTAATATAGTACAAGTAAATTATTTTTCTTAAGTGAAAGTTAGAAATTTTCATTCTCTAAAAATATGAAATTCTTTCATCAGATCAGCCTAACACACAAAACTACATTATTTCAATTATAAAGCTTTATTATGACAAATTATACACATATTTATTATTTGTGTGTGCACTTGTGTGTATGCATGATTTTGTGTGTATGTGTGTGTGTGTGTTTGGGCCATACTCAGCTTTGCTCAGGGCTTACTCCTGGTTCAACTGGCTCACAAATCACTTCTGGAAGAGCTCAGGAGACTATATGGGTTGCCGAGATTGAACCAGGGTTGGCCACATACGAGGCAATTTCCATACTCTCTGTACTCTCTCTGTGATCTACGAACACTTATCTTTATAGTGCTTATACTCAGTTCTCTCCTATCAGGTGTCTCAAATCTGAATCCCAAAATGAACACCTGTAGGCAAAATCTGTATGTCCTCAAAGTCAGTTCCATTTTCTGTTAGTTCAATCAGGTATTTAGTTACAGAAATTCCTGATATATGATATCAAACTAAATGAGGTCTACTCCAAAAGCAAATTATAGGGAGAAGTTCATAGATACAGATATAGAAGGAGTTATTATTTAGAAACTCGGACAAACATTTATGCTGGATTTTTGAATTAGTCTAATTCTTCCTTTTTCTTACAACTTTTCTTTCCAACCTTTAATGTTCTGAGGTACTTCTATGACACAATGTAACAAAGGTTGCAAAATCAAATATTTCCTGTGCTCATAAGATGAACTAACTACTGCATACAATCAAAATCAAATATTTTGTGTAAACATGTGATGAGCTAACTATTTCATAAAATCAATAGTGTGATCAACTATTAGAGTTGACCTAGACTCTAAGAGTTGAACAAGAGTCAAGAGAAATGAAAAAATGCAGTGTTAAGATTCAGTGCCAAAATATATTCGACTTCATATGTAAATACAGATATGTATATACATATATATATATAGTACACATATATGTGTGTGTATATAGGTCTTGGACCACACACATTGCTCTAGGCTTGAGGATCACTTCCAGACATGCTCTAGGAGCATGTGGTGCTTGGGATCAAACCTAGGCATCCTGCATGCAGATCAATGCTCAAACTGTTGAATATGCTCCCCTGCCAAAATTAATAGATGTTTATAGTCTCCTAGACAAGATTTCAAACATATCTGTTCACCACACTGCCATTTACTCCTATAGACTGAAGCACAGTAATTAAAATTTATCATAATAGGAAAAACTGAGCTCCAGCGTTGCACCTTCCTGATTTTTGGTAACGCAGCCCTGATTGTAAGCAGCTGTTAACCTTAGATACTTCTTCACCTCAGGGCAAAGAAGCACCTTTTCCATAGGTCAGATACATCAAATCATAAGGTAATGGGTAATTTTCTTTGAACAGTATCTAATACATAGAGAATGACAAAAATATATTACTGTTATTTTAAGTTATTAGCATGAATCTTGATAACATTTTCAAAAGAGGGTTTATAATTCATTTTCAAATGCATATTTAACAAAGTGTTGAAAGGTTAAAAATTATATTTTAAGAATAGCAGTGACTGAAAGGTTAGTATTGGGATAAATGCTTGCAGGAATTCCTACAAGTATAATATAAATGATCATGTATTAAGTATATAACAAAAACAGTGGACTACTGTAAATCCTATTGAATTCAGTAATGCCATCTATATGGCATATGATCCTTAAATCCTATTTTTCTGTTGGTCTGGCATAAGGATGGTTTACACGCACACAAAGAAAAGACAGGTTAGTTCACACTTCGGTCCACATGCAATTAGACTAAGTCAGTCAAGTTTCAACTGATTCAATAATATGAAAATTGGGTGCAGATTGGTGTTGCAGTGAGTGGCTGAGCTTCAAACTTGGACTGTGTGACAAGCAATTTTGGTTCAGTTTCACTCCTGAGACTGATGTGCATACCTAAATATGCCTGTAGCTGATTCCTCTACTACTTCTCAACAATCTCAATTTTTCTTAGACTCTGATAGGGTTTCCTTTCCTATCTCCCTCCCTTCCACCCTCGAACTTTTAAAAAAAATTTTATCACCTGTAATTTATATATTTTCAGGATAGTTTTTCATTCAAAAATATATTGTTCTAGGTATATTATCAAAGAATGTTATTTTGAATTTTGTAATTTTTTAAGTTTACTAAAATATTTAATTAAAAACACTAATAGTCAATAAGAAAACACTGAAATGCAACGATGACAAGTTTTCTTCTGTAAACTATCATTGAAATAAAAACGTAGCGGGATTAGAGCTCATTTTATATTATTTTATATATTTGTCATAGTAATGAACTGCTGTCAACAGGGTAAACCAGTTGGCTGTGTTTGCATTGTTAACACCTTATTTATATGCAACATATAAATGCTTTATGGATGTATTTCCCATCATATTTTGACTTAAACCAAAACAAAGATATTGCTTTGCTGCAGGACATCTCCTGTGGTCACAGTCTCTTAATGACTTTTAAACTAAGAAATGTAAATCCTCTAGATATAACAAAACAATATATTTATTTGCCTGAAATGTCTACTGAGCAATCTCTTACAATTTCCCCCTTGCAAACCTTTAATAAAAACATTTACTATGATACCATAATAATTTTGTAATATTATCAACATAGCAAGAATAATATTGAATTCTTGGGACTAGAGAGATAGCAGGTGGGTAAGAGCACAGCCAACCTGAGTTAAATCCGCAGCAACATTTACAGATCCTCCAGAGCACCGGGGTATTCCCGAGAACAGAGCCAAGAGTAAGCCCTTAGAGAGCTGCATATGACTGAGAGAATCAAGAAAAAAAAAGAAGAGAATATTCATTTGTTTTGGGGTTTTGGTCATACTGGGCAGTACGCAGCAATCAATTACTCCTGCAGGGTGTAGGGGAAATTATGGGGTGCTAGGTATCAAACTGAGTTAACCGCTTGCAAGGTGAACTCCCCTTCCATTGTACCATCTCGTCAGCCCCCCCAAATATTAATTTCTTAGTGGTCTAGTTCATGCCAGATCCTGAAGATATATTGGTAAATAAGATTAACATGGTCTTTGTTTGTGAGGCTTACATTGGAATATGGAAGAAATTCATCTTTTCAAAAAAAGTAATTATTAAAAAACCTTTATTTACTTTCAACTGTGATAAACATTGAAGTGGTCAAACTAATGCACCCTAAAGAGAAGCCCAGTTTAAGTCTCCATTTCAAAGGCCTGGCAGGCTGAGACCCTCCTTGCTAGCATTATGAGCTATGCCCTGGAGGTTCTGGAGAACCCACCACTGCTCCATTCTGCCCCTCAGTTCCTAGGACTGGCCTAGGCACCTCTCCTCTGCTTTATCAATTAGGCCCAGCATACATCCTATGCCTTTGCCACACAAATTCCTTTAACTGGTCACTCTGTTCCCTTCCCAGGATAGGCTAAAAACAATTCGTGTGCATATAATTAACTTAGAACATTTCATAGTTGGTTCAAATTATTATGTTTCTTTTTATGTGACTGGCTTAAAATCTTTTATATACAATTAACTTTCTCCCTAAAGTTATACAAAGAATACATATCTCCTGCTTACCCCCTCCCAGGACTAACTAATTTATAAAAAGCAAAAGTTTCCTGCCTAGAGCAACCAAAAAATATGCCATTATATATGTCCCCTTTCAATGCTAGGGTATCTCTTTGGAGGCCTCTGCTGTATCATTCTGTTTCTTTCTCAGTAAACTAACTTTGCTCTCCTAAACCGTCTTGCTCTCCTGATAAATTACTTTACCACCCATGGATAGGATCCAGGCCAGGAACCAATGGATTATGGTTCAAGGACCTCCTCCTAATTCTTCAAATATTACAAGGCAAAAGCATATTGTATATAGTCATTTATTAAACACATATTGAGATCCTTAATCATATGTGTGTTGCAGGTCGAAGTCTCTTCCATCCTTGTCAAGGGGAATGCTAACCTTCTCTTCGTTCTACAACAACGGGCTGCAGTGATAGCACAGTGGGCTGGTGGTGCACGTGGCCAACCAGGCCGACCCGAATTTAATTCCTCTGCCTTTGATTCTTCCGCCCTTCTTGGAGAGCCTGGCAAGCTACTAAGAATATCTCGCCCACAAGGCAAAGCCTGGCAAGAAACCCATGATGTATTCGATATGCCAAACAAATTAACAAGTCTCACAATGTAACTGGGCCTGCTCAAGCAAATCAATGAACAACAGGAGGACAGTGACAGTGATATTGAGGACAATGTTATATAAAAAGGAAATATGCAGCGTGAGAAAAAAGTTGACCTTCACAATTCCTTTGTTAAGGAACTTAACATAGTACCTCTAAGTCCAAGATAAATATACAAGTATTAGAAGCTGATAAGGCACATACTGAAGAACTATCAAGTAATAATAAAGCAACAGAGAAGAATCTATGAGTCTGGGCAAGAATAAGTGAATATTTCTTAGATGAGGTGATATTTTAGATTTAGATTTGAAAGAATGAACAGAATATGGCTGAACAAGAAGAAAGAGAAAGGAAATCACAGTAGAATTTGTATTGTTTTTTGGTAGCAAAAGACATCTTTCTTTTTGGTTGGTAGCAAAAGACCAACTGCTGCGAGAGGTTCCATTTTAGCTGTCCCTAGCCTACATTTTAAACATTTCTGCAAATTCCTGAGCTCTAAATTACAGTTTTCCATGGCTGAAAATTCTGCCTTAGGTTTTGGTGTAGAGGATTCTGAAGAATAAGGGAAATAGGTACGACGATGTCAAATAGATAAACTAAATGATCTTAAATAAACAGACAGTTCCCAGCAGCTTAAGTGAGATGCAAGATATTAATCTTAAAATAGCAATATAAATGGACCCTAAATTAACAAGATACCTCTGAAAAACAAATGGGGTCCAAATGGAGTTCTAGGGTTGAAGCAATAGTGATGAGTAATCATGAAAAATAACAGTTCTAGAATCAGCACCAGCTTATTCTTTAATGAAGGACAAAATAGGTGTTTGTTTGTTTTGTTTCAACAACCTATGTTCAGGGTTTTTGTTTGTTTGTGTTTTTTTTTTGTTTGCTTATTTTAAAACTCATTGCTGTTCTCTCTAAACCTAGACATTAGAAGGTTAGAGGTTTGGGAACAAGGGTCTTATTAGCCAGTTCTAGATAATAGCTTCTATACTAAATTATATCTATGTTGAGGATAGAAAAAACTAAAGAATACTTTCATAATTTATCTTTGTAAAACACTGCAGTAAAATAAGTTTTTAGAGGCGAGAAAAAGGAACATCATTTTATAAAGTTTGTCATGTTTCAGAATTTGAATAACCACATTAATCAGTCTTGTGCAATAGCTATGACTACTATCATTTGCATTGTGCCAACAAAATTCATTAACCCAAACAGAAGAAGTTCGCAATAATAATATGCAATTTTTTCACTGTTGACTTATCCTATATTTTTCTTAACCCGAATTGTTTTCATGAATTTTGTAATAAAAATTTTTTTAACTCAGCTTATTTTCAGGTTTTCTAAGGCAATAGCCCTTAAAAGCAACAAACTTTTCATTAAGGCATATGTATAAAAAGAAGCCAACCCAGGAGAAACTTATTTTTACTTGTGAATCTGTGATGAAAATGATATAGAAAGCTTTGTAAGAAGTATAATTTAAAATAGCTCTGTGATTTGAGGCATCCCATTTACTTTCCAGCTGTGGCAATTTAGTATCACTGAACAAAAACAGAATATGGATAGTAATGGAAACTAGATCCTAGAGTTAGTTTTAGAGATAACACAGTGGGTAGGGCAGGCCACTGACTTGCCTTGCATGAGGCAGACCTGGGTCCAATTCTCAGCACCTCATATTGTGACTTGTACCTGGCCAGCCGTGACTGCTAAGTGCAGAGCTCTGAGTTCTGAGCACCACTGGGTGTGGCCCTAGAAACTAACAAAATATTGTGTTCTGTGGATAAATGCTCTCTTCTCTTTCTCTTCTGAAAACTAGAAAGAAATAAAGGGAAATGTTCAGGACCAAACTAAATTTTTGGCTAGTTTGGATTGGAGAAAAAGGAAAAACAGAAAAAGAGACATTTATATCATATTGAATGGTTTTGATCATGTTTGTTCCTCTGCTTCTACTCATGAGAACTGTGCTACATTTCAAAGAATAGCTTGAATAGTTTCTTTAAAATATGCCACTATTGGTGGGATTGATAACTGGTACAGCCTTTATGGAAGACAATATGGAAGTTCCTCGAAGAACTAAGAATTGAATTTCCTTTTGACCTACCAATTCTGTTCCTGAAAATATTCCTCAAGAGCCCAAAACCACAATGCAGAAAAGATCTCTCCACTCCTATGTTGATTGCAGCACTCTTCACAATAGACAAAATTTGGGAAAATCCCAAGTGTCCAAGAAGAGATAAGTAGATAAAGAGTCTATGGTATATATACACAATGGAATACTACTCTGCCATAAGAAAAGATGAAGCCATACAATTTTGCTATATGGTTGAATCTGGAGAGTATTGGGCTGAGTGAAATGAATTAAAGGAAGAGGATCTGGCACAGAATGATCTCACTCATATGCAGGATATAAAGAAACACATCAGAGGAATAACTAATACCTAAAGATAATAGAAATAAAGGAAAAAGAACTGGTGCTTAGTTGGATGCTTGTCTCTAAGGGGGTTGGGATTAGGAGAGGATGGAGTTGGGATAAGTCAAGAAAGGGACGTTGACAATGACAGAAGGAAGTGCTCACTCTGGAAGAGGCATTGGTGCTGAAAGGTCGTAAAGTAATATGCATGATACCCTAACAGTGGGCTGGAGCGATAGCACAGCGGGTAGAGCATTTGGTGGCCAACCCAGGTTTGATTCCTCTGTCCCTCTCAGAGATCCCGGCAAGCTACCGAGAGTATCTCACCCACGCGACAAAGCCTAGCAAGCTAATTGTGACGTATTTGATATGCCAAAAACAGTAACAACAAGTCTCACATTTTGTTGTGAGATGTTACTGGTGCCCACTTGAGCAAATTGATGAACAATGGGAGGACAGTGCTACAGTGCTATCCTAACAGTAACTAACAGTTTATAAACCACTGTACTAGTAGGAAAAAGAAAGCAATGGCTGCCATAGAGGCAGGGTGGTGGATAGAGGGTAACTAGAGACACTGGTGGAAGGAAGTGGACACTGGTGAAGGGATTGGTGTTGTATCATTGTGGACTTGAAAATGAATCGTGAAAATCTTTGTAATTCATGGTGGCGCAATGAAAAAGAAAATGTTCTAAAAATATGCCATGTGGGTAGGGCGAGAGCTCAAGTGTGAGGTGCATGCTTCCCACCAGTGCCGCTGACAAATATTTGAACTGTCTGGCTTAAGTTGCACTGAAAATGATCTGCAGGGGTACATGCTTGGGAAGCTCCCACCCCCAATATAAACGTATTTTAAAGTGTCATTTTTACATCACTCCTATGATTAGAACCATTCAGTGGTTTGTCCTGTCTGTCAGATGAGATTCAAAGTTATCACCCACCTAGGCAGAATTCCCCCCTAACTCTGACACCCGCCCTTACCCCGGTCATGCTTTTTTCTCTCACACCATTTTCAACATTTTGTCTTGAGTTCCTTCAGCTCCTTGTTTCACTTAGATAACAGATGTTTTCTATCTGGGGGCTTTTGTATTTTCTAATCCTCTTGCCTGAAGCACTTTTTCATATCTAGACAACATCATGGCTTGATTTGTCTTTGCATTCTAGTCTATGCTCAAACACCATCCTTTCAGCTGCTTCTCTGAACAAAGTGCGCACAACAAGCTCATTCCAACCACTCACCCTCAACAGCTCTGCCCATCCAAAACACAAAACACTTGCTATTTCTGTGCTTGACAATGCTTATTACCACTCACCATGGCTTACATCTAGTTATCATTTTGTTGTCTCTATTTCTCAACTGTGTCAGCTCTAACCTTAAAATTCAGGCCATATGAGCTTTAATTTTATGACATCAGGATTTATCACTATGAACTGAGGAAAAAGTTCTTCTTAACAGAAAGTAGAAAAACTGATGATTTGGGCAAATTATAGCTCCTGTATATAGCAGAGCCTGGCAAGCTACCCGTGACAATATGCCAAAAACAATAACAATAACGGGTCTCTTTTCCCTGATCCTGAAAGAGCCTCCAATATGGCAGTGTTGGGAAAGACGAGTAAGGAGAGGCTCCTAAAATCTCAGTGCTGGGGCGAATGGAGACATTATTGGCGCCTGCTCGAGTAAATTGATGAACAACAGAATGACAGTGAAACAGTGATACAGTGTGATAGCTCCTGTATGTTCTAGATCAGATAATACCACACAACATTATAGGGCTTTGAGGCTATAATCAAGAATACATAGACTCAAGAGGTATTTAAGTTCATTGGCACCCTGGCTGGGAGTGCATTTAAACACACACACAAAATTCAACTAGTCCTAATTCTGATTTGCATCATACAAATGAGGTTTTCAGATTGCAGTTCTGATTGGCAGAAAGTTTTTCAAGCAATGATCTGTCAAATATCAATTCAGAACTAACTGGTTTGCAGTCTACTCTGTAAAGGTATCTTACTGTCCAAACATACTAGAGTACCATGACATGCGTAGCACTCAACTTTCAGAGACCTCTCACTCTGGTTCATGCTCAGACTCAAAAATGACTCCATTCTTGTTATTATTTATTTATTTTTTTATTTGTTTTTTGCTTTTTGGGTCACACCTGGGGGCTGGAGTGATAGCACAGTGGGTAGGTTGTTTGCATTGCAAAAGGCCAACATGGCCGACCCGAGTTCAATTCCTCCACCCCTCTCGGAGAGCCCGATAAGCTACCAAGAGTATCTCGCCCACACGGCAAAGCCTGGCAAGCTACCCCTGATGTATTTGATATGCCAAACACAGTAACAATTGTCACAATGAAGATGTTACTGGCCCACTCGAGCAAATCGATGAACAATGGGAGG